GCGCCTCACCACCTGCACCTACCTGCTGCTCTGTAGCCCCAGCAGTACAGGCCCTCTTTGTTACCCAGCACAGGTACATCCGCTCCCTGAAAGTCTCATCTCAGCCAGCACAGACAGATCTAGAAAACACATCCTAGTTTAATCAACAAGCCTGGCCTGCCTCAGGATGGCTCCTTAGGAAATGGTACCCAGCCCTGAGTCAGAGAGATGGCTGTCCCCATCCAGCTTCCCCTGGCTAGAGACCAGGACTGCAGAACACCCAGCTGGCCTCCACTCAGCTATTAGGCACCTCCCTCCTTGCAAGAAGGGGCTGCAGATCCCAGGAGTCAGAAGCCAAGATTAGGCAGGGGACTGCTCCCTCCTCCCCAGTTCCAGAAGGTCCAGGCAACATGGACAATGAGGCAGGATTTGGGATCACAGGGCTCCTGTTTGCTTGCCAGCAGAACATCTCTGGGGCAGCCCACAGAAGCAGGAGGTCTCCTAGAAGGCCAGCTTCTTCATCAGCAGGTAAACTCGAGAGTCCACTTCAAACCCATGCAGGTTGTTTGCATCTCCCTGCAGCCGCATGAGCAGCCCCCCATAGGACACGTAGGCAGAGCTGGGGCAGGAGGAGAGCAGCACTCAGAGTGAGAAATTCCACGGGAGACCTGGGCTGAGATCCTGGTGCCTCCCCTATTCCACCCCAGAGCTCCACGTTCCCCAGCTCCCGCCAACCGGCACTCACAGGCGCGTGGCTGCCTCCGTAGAGGTCTCATCCCCCTCAATCCTGTACACCTTGCCATACATCACGTACTCGAACTGGTCTGCCCTGCAAAGAGTCAAATTCAGGTATTCCCCCAGCTGAGCATCCTTTGAGAGAAGGTATCTCAGCACTTCACTCCCGACACACCTGTATTCTAGCTGGAACCCCATACCTGGACGGCCGGTCATCCGTGGGGTTGTACTCGCCATCATCCAGTGTGCCATCTTCATACAAGGTGCTGGCAATGACCAGGCGGAATTTGTCCCCTAGGAAGAGAGGGCAGAGAAGCAGTGAGAAGGTGGGAGCACAGCCACGGTAGATCTCAGTGTGGTGGCAAGGAGACATCCTGTCAGGTTTAGCACAAACCCATCTCTGCCTTCAGTCCTCCAACAGGACTGTGGAAAGAAGGAAAACATCACCCTGGATCATCTGTCTCCCTGCTCCCCACGGACAACGGTCACCATCACAGAGAGCCCAGAGCCACCAGGACACCACTGCTGGTGTTTTCACGGCATACAGCAAGATATTCATGGGGAAAGTCCCAGAAGACTTAGCTGAACCCTGGGCAGCCAGGGTGAGACCCTGTAACAGCAGCACCTGAGGATAAGACTCTCTTTTCCACCTATTTAATGTATTTAGTCACAGAAACTCATTTCTAAGGTCTCCCTTAAAGCTTTGTTCCCATCAGCTGAGGCAGTTTCACTAGACAGCATCTCTGGGGATGAGCCCAAACACATTCCGTGAGGCAAACCAGAACCCAACTCAGCACCAGCACGCTGAAAGTGCCCAGTACCTCCTGGGACCTGGGGACAAGCACCGGGCCCCACGGAAGCCTGAGTCAGCTCATTCCTTGCACATAACAAATTCAGCCACTCTTCTCCAAGCATCAGCACGCACCTCCCTAACCTCACCCACCCAAGGTGACACTGGCTCAGGCTTGGCACCCTCTGGTCTAGCAGCCCAACGGCTTACCGAGGTCCACGGGGTAGATCTGGATGTTCACATCCAGGATGAGGTCCATCTTGAAGGACTCGCTCTCACAGTGCAGGCGGGACACTGGGGAGAGCAGCAACCAGGGACAAGCACAGAGAAGACCCCAGTGACTGGGTGGGAGCAGGGCTCTCACCCACCCTAGGGTAGCACCCGAGCTATTGGGGGAGAGGGATGCAGGGGGGATGGGCTCGGGGACGGGTACTAGAGCCCAGGAACAGACCGCGGGACGCACAGGCAGGGAGAGGCACACTGCGGGGAACGGCGCGCACTGGGGAGCCGGGCTGGGGATGCAGGGCGCACCGGCGTGCGGCAACACACGGCGGTTCTATGTCAGGCGACAGCGAGGGGCCACCGCCGACGGTTA